TTTCATTGTTACAAATTGAACATAATTAAAGCATAGTGATTAATCACAAAAACAACATGTAATTATATATGTGTTTTCCGATGGTCTTAGGCGACCCCTGTGAAAGGGTCATTCGACCCCCAAAGGGGTCGCAACCCACAGGTTGAGAACCGCTGCACCACATTAATTCTAGTACCTGTATGTCAAAGTTTGACATGTAAAAGTCATAACATTCCAAACAAGATTACCATAGCCTCACAGGGCAGGGTGGATTAAGGCATGGGGTCTGGCGTCGGCCCGCCAGAGCTCAAAACCAGGCTCTACCACTTCACAGCTAGGAGACCTGGAGAAGTCCCTGAACTTCTAGGACACAATGTTCTCACCTCTAATACGGTGATGGTACTGGTACCTCCCTCAAGGGTTTATGCCATGAGCATTAAATAAGTCGCACAAAGCCCTTGGTTCAGCACTTGACTCAATAAATATGTGTCGTTGGCATCATCATCACTATCACTGTCCTGCCGGCTCTGCCACCTTAGCTGTGAGTGCCTGTCTAGCCTCTAGGAGACCTGGAGAAGTCCCTGAACTTCTAGGACAGTGTTCTCACCTCTAATACAGTGATGGTACTGGTACCTCCCTCAAGGGTTTATGCCATGAGCATTAAATAAGTCGCACAAAGCCCTTGGTTCAGACTTGGCTCAATAAGTATGTGTCGTTGACATCATCATCACTATCATTGTCCTGCCAGCACCACCACCTTAACTGTGAGTGCCTGTCTAGCCGGTGTCTGTGCCAACCCACAGAATCTCTCCTGGTGCCAGGAAAGCAGGGACACAGAGCAAAAGATGAGCCTTCTGGCCTTTTGCTTTGTCTTGGGTCTGCAGAGCTGAGCTCAAGGCTGTGCCTCCTCCGCAGGTGTACCTGGCGGCAGGCACTGTGTACGGACTGGAAGGCCAGCTGAATGAGCTGGAGGATGCCGCCCGCTGCATCCACAGTGGCACTGATGAGACCGAACTGGCAGATCTGGAGGACCAGGTGGCCACGGCTGCAGCCCAGGTCCACCATGCTGAGCTCCAGGTAAGGACACTCCTCTCTGCCCAGATGGGAGATCGCCGAGCAAAAGGAGAGAGCACCCTATCTTCCACAAGAATTATTTCGAAGTCCTTTTATCTCTCAGTTCCTGCATTTCCAGCTCAGTTGCATGGATATGATCCTTCAGGGTGGATTCCTTTTAAAGTGCAGCCTTCCTTTCCCAAATTTCTAGCCTTGATAATATATCAGACTTCTCTTTAAAACTTATGCCACTTAGGGTTAGGGTCTAGCAGGAAGAAATATTATTTATGGATGTTTGGGAAGGTTTTGTTGTAATAATTAGTTACTCCTGCTTCCAAATTTTCCTAGGCTTAAATTATTGGGGCCAAATTTTATGGCAGGAAATCTCTCTCTCTCTCTCTCTCTCTCTCTCTCTCTCTCCCTCCCTCCCTCCCTCCCTCTTCCACATTCTCTAAAAAATCAATAGAAAAAATATCCTCAGGTGAGGATTAGCAACAACAAAAAGTTGACTATACATTATATTATTATTCTATTAATAAGCATGGCCAGAATGTGCAGGTTCATTTGGACTGGGGCCCCAGGAACACAGAATGTCTGCATGCATGACAAGAATTGCATGACTAAGGCAGAAGCCCAGTCCTGGATCCAGAGGTGCATGGGGGAGGGCAGAGGGCACTTGGAGTGTGTGTGAAAAAGAAAGACAAACAGGATTCCAGTGGTCAATACCAAGGATGGAACCTGGGCACTTATGGCAACAGGGCAAACATTAAGAACTCAGACAGCCTGAGGACAAAGAGAGGGTGAAGATTCAAACCAGAGTAGCTAGTGTTCAGAACAGCCCCCACTTCCACCCCCGCCACCCTCAAGGTGTGCCACTTTGGCTTGTGCATTATTTTAAGCTTAAAGAATTTACAGAATTTAAGTTAGTGGTCTTGCCCCATAATAAGAGTTATCACGAGAAATAACTTTTTATGACCTATGTATAGCACATGGTAAACTTTTAATTACTGAACATCTCTCCTTGTAGTCCTATGAATGACCTTTCTCCCTTCTGAAGCCTCAAGATGCTTTATCTCATCCTCAGCTCAATGTCATATATACTTCATTTTCCCTTTCTGTTGCTGAAATTCTCATGTATGTGGAGTCTCTGACTCTCTCATGTCTGTGGGATTCCCACAGAGCTTCTCTGAGTTCTGTGAGCTGCTCCAGCAAATTAATCAAACCCAAGGATGGTGTCCTGGCAACCTCCAATCTATAGCAAGTAGGTCAGAAGCCCAGGCAACAATCTGGGCTTGGTACTGATGTCTGAAGTTTGGAGGGTGGGGGCAGCCTTGGAGAACTGAACCTTTACCCTGTGGATCTGACTCTATCTCTGGGTACATAGTGTCAGAATTGAGTTGAATTCTCAGACCTCCTGCTGGTGCCCAGGAATTCCTTATTGGTGTGGGGGGAAACCCTCCTCCACACATTGGCAATGGGTCTCAGAACCCCTTTACCTACATTCCAGTGAAGACATTTATTAAACACCCACCTGTGGTGGCTGTTTGACCTGTGCTGGAGTCCTCACTCCCAATTACTAACAAAGAGAGGAGTTGGCACAATGGAAAGAGCCTTGCCTCAGGAGTCAGGCAGACGTGGGTGGTGAATGAGGTGGTACTGGGTAGTTTTTTACAGCTTAATTCCTCAAGACCTACTTCAAAGGACATCCAGCTAACATGGTTAGCATGTGGAACTGCACTGAATGGGGTATCGCAGAACAAATCCGAGTTCCTGAGTCAGAAGACCTGGTTGCAGATCTCGTACACGTCATTTAGCTTGCCAGGGCCTCAGTGTCCTCCAGCGTGAAACCAGAAAGTAGGCCTAGGAGCTGAAAAGACCCCTCCAGGATGACAAAATGACCTGGGGCCTTGAATTAAAATCTTGAGCTCAAATCCCACGCTTACTGCAAATCTACTCTGTGACTTGTGGTGATTCAACCTCTGACTCCCACCTCTCCCATATTCTTGGTTTCTTAGTTGAATAGAGAGAACTGATTCATCCAGCATTGAGCAAGTCTCTCAAGTGATGGATGTTTGCTCTCCCACATCCTTGAATCACAGGGACTGGGACTAAAGACCAATTAGGTGTTCTTGCATCCAGCCCATTGCTCCTTCCCACTCCCCAAATCCCCCAGCTTGGAAACTCATTAGATACCTGAGAGCTGGGAGAATGAGAGCCTGGGTCCTAAATGGATAACTGGGGATACAGCACTTCCATTGTACTGTCGGATCCACTTGCTTTACATAATAACTTCAACTCAACTGGGAACAACGCTCTTGGATTCTGGTTGTTTTCTTTTTCCAGGAGAACGGACAAAGGAAAAATAGTGGGATGAACTAATCCCCACCACTAGTCCATGCCACTACAGTTGCTTTTCTGGGGGCAATGGGTTTGCATCATTTCCCTCTCCTTACGTATTTTACATTCCCCTCACCTTCTACACCTCTGTTGATCTGGGTCAGTGGTCGGCAAACTCATTAGTCAACAGAGCCAAATATCAACAGTACAACGATTGAAATTTCTTTTGAGAGCCAAATTTTTTAAACTTAAACTATATAGGTAGGTACATTGTTATTAACTTAATTAGGGTACTCCTAAGGCTTAGGAAGAGCCACACTCAAGCCACCAAAGAGCCGCATGTGGCTCGCGAGCCGCAGTTTGCTGACCACAGGCCTAGGGAATATAGTCAATAATATCGTGATAACGTATGGGGCCATAGTCAATAATATCGTGATAACTATGTATGGGGCCAGGTGGGTATTTGCAGCATCGGGGGAACTCTGTAAAGTACATGAATTTCTAACTACCATGCTGTACATCTGAAACTAATACAGAATAATATTGAGTGTAAACTGTAATTGAAAAAAAGGTAATATGATATATATACTGTATAATTTATAACAGCCTTCCCACCCCCACACTCCCAGCCATGGTGTCATTAATATCCTGGCAAGAAGGTGTGAGAATGTTCACACTCAATGGGGTGGACAAGGACTTTAAAGGGCCGCATGGCCATTCAAGTTACATTTTGCCATCAGACAATTTTGGCTCCAAAGTTATAAATACATGCACTTTTTAGAGCATTTTATATGTCCAAATGGCAAATAAGAATTTATGAACCATATTAAATGATCTCTAAGCTACCTTTTCCCAGAAAGCTACTAATGATACCCTATTTGGTTCACTATGAAAAATGAAGCCACAGTCAGACCCGCGGACCAGAATGAGATTCCAGGTCCAGAACACAAGCCTGGGCAATCCGGACACCTGGTCTTTCTTCCTTAACAGTCGGTCCAGCTCTGGGTGACATTCCCATTTGTTTCCTTTCAGCTGAAAAAATGGCGGTATCTTCAGTGACCAACACAAAAACATTCAACCGCAACTTCATTCTCCAAGGCTCCTCGACAAACAGGAAAAGCACCACCAAGGACTTGATGGTAAATGTCGTCTCTGTCCTAACGCCCACCTCTTTCACTGGAGGTGGCACCTCCATTCTGTAGCCCTTCTGTCTGTGGCTTCCCTGCTTGAGCCCCAAGACCCATCCTTTCTGCATGGTCTCCTGGCCTGTCGGTGGGGGTGATGGGGATCTAAGAGGCGACGAACACCGTGCCGGGCATTGCCAACCTCTTTGATATATGGACACAGCCCCTCAACTGCATAACCACCTCCTTGTAGGAACCAATTTTGATAGAAGAGAAATGAAAATGTGGACACATGAATGTAAGGTCGGGTTGAGGTGCAGTGCAGGAGTTTTTATGCTGTTTTTGAACCATACTCACTCTTCCTTAAATTTCCCATTAGCCACCTGTGGTCCTGAAAAAAGGCAGCAACTGCCCCTAAATGAGGCAAAGAAAGGGACAGAAGATAATTTGCACAAACCCTGGAGGTCATATAGAGGTCGGGGAATCATAGATTATTTGCCTAAACACCCACATATGCTTCGGAATTTTGGCAAATGCTCGATGCTACTTATAAGGGATGTGACGACCCAGCTAAACTGCCTCAGTGGTACCATATGCTACGGGCAGACAATGTCTGGGGTGACAAGACCAAAGCAAGGACAAGTATAACTTTTGGCCTTTTATGCATCACAAGTCACGCCCTTCCCCGTCCTCTTCCTCCTCATCTCCTGTCTCCTGAGTGCACTGGTAACAGCGGCGCGATGCTGGCCGTGCCATTTAGAATTACAACCACTGCACCTATGAGGCACCACGTGGCCGGTGCAGGCCATTGCCTTTCCTTCGGTGGCCAGCCATTACCCTTGACCTTTCAAAGTCCAATTACCTTGCTCCTGGCCATTTCTTCGAAGAGCTAAAAGATTCATTATTACACTAAAAGGGCAGACCACTAGGGCTGGGGAAGGAACCTGTGATAAATCAGGTGGTTAAAAATAAATTACCTTTCGTGGAGCTACTAGAACATAGATCGGTGGTTGCCAGGGGCTGCGGGGACGGGGAATAGGAAGCAATTGCTCAGGAGGTGAGAGGTTTTACTTTACAGCGAGGGGAAGCTTTTGAAACCACACAGAGGTGGTGGCGGCACACACTGTGAACATACTAAACGCCACTGAATTGTTCATTCCAAAAGGGTTAATTTTATGTGAATTTCACCTTAATAAATTATTTATTTATTTATTTATTTAAAATATATTTTATTGATTTTTTTACAGAGAGGAAGGGAGAGGGATAGAGGGTTAGAAACATCAATGAGAGAGAAACACCGATCAGCTGCCTCCCGCACTACTGGGGAGGTGCCCGCAACCAAGGTACATGCCCTTGACCGGAATCGAACCTGGGACCCTTGAGTCCGCAGGCCGACGACGCTCTATCCACTGAGCCAAACCGGTCAAAGCAATAAATTATTTTTTTAAATAAATTACCTTTAAATAACAGGTTAAAAATGAAAACATGGACAATATTTACTAAAGAAATGCAAACAAAAATGGAAATACTACTTTCAAGCAAAGTAGAATTTAAGACAAGAAGCATTTGCAGAGAAAAAACAAAGAGGGAAGGTGTTTTAATTTTGGTGAAATAAAGTCGATAACTCATGAGCCTTCCTTGTTTTGGCAAACAATAGAGCAAAACAATTAATTATGCCATGGTTGGTGACTTTAAAATTCCCGTAATTAAGATATTTATTTAACTGTGTACTTTACAGAAGGTTCACTTTCTTTCCAACCATCAATGGGCCATTTATAAAAACTGATTTTATACCAGGTACAAAGAAAATCTCAATAAATTCCAAAAAGTAGACAGTATAAAACTACCTTCTGTGACACCGATGACAAAAATAACCTAGAACAGTACACTGTTGAATAGAACTTTCTAAAATAATGGAAAGGCCACATGTGGTAGCCACATGTGGCTACTGAGCACTTCAAATATGGCCACTGCCTTGGAGGACTGATCTTTACATTTTCATTTAATTTTAACCTAAATGTAAACAGCCACAAGTAGCTAGTGGCTACCATATTGGACAGGGCAAATCTAGAAAATTAGAACAAAAGTAAAAGTAAACAAAAACCCTATTCTGATTTATACAGCATACACAACTGTACATTTATACAAACATGCACATGTGCACACTCTGACACACACATTTCCAAGGAACTATGAACTAAAGAGAAAAGTAAATCCACAGAGCACTTAGAACATGAAAACATTACATATATTGAAACAAATGGGGTCTGTATAAAACTATACGAGTCATATTTATAATATTAAATGTTTTTTGTTATTAAAGAAGCAAAACTAATGAAATAGACATTGAATTCTAGACATCAAAGATAAATTAAAACCAGAGGACTATAGAAATTTATGATAATTGAAGAGTTTGTGCTTTAGAAAAATATAAAATAGAATTTCTTTGTAAACCAAATCAAGAAAAAAATAAATAAAATAAAAACATAAGACTATAAAAGACATGTAAATTTTTAAATTTAAATATATAAATGTGATATAAATCGATGCTAATAAGTTTTAAAGTCATAATTCTAATAAAATCAGAATATTCGTGAAAAATAATTAAAGAAATAAAATTTTTAAATTGATTAAACCTTCAGAAAAAGATTCTCTGGCTAAGTGATTTAGCTGATAAATTTTGAAGGAACAGTTAATTCCCATGCAATATAAAATGTTTCAGAGCAAAAAAAATTAGAAACTAAAAGATATGTTGTGAAGCTACTAGAACCTCGAGTACCAAAGCCTAACATGGCTGGTAAGTGTGTACACATGCTCCATGTTCACACACACACACACATTCACATAGACATATATACAGAGATATACACAAACCACACACTAATTATATTTCTTCAGAGAAATGATGCATACTAAGTAAAATATTAACAAATTAGACACAGAAGAACATTAAATAATAAATTACCAGATAATTTTACAGGAATGCAAGGATACCTTTAATATTGAGATACTGATAAGTCACATCAATAATTCAATAAGAAAAGTAATTTCTCCTTTTAATTTATAGTTTAATCCAGTTCTCATAAAAATCTCAGTGGGACTTTTTTAAGGTTTATGTAGGAATAAATCAGAAAAAATAGACAAAAGCATTTTGCAAAGTTAAAGTGATTTTCCTGCCAGATTTTCAAACAAATTAAAAGCTGTAAAGCAGCGATTTTCAACCTTTTTCATCTCTGGGCACACATAAACTAATTACTCAAATTCTGCGGCACACCAAAATTACATATTTTTTGCCAATCAGACCAAAAAATAGGTATAATTTTGATTCATTCACACTGGATGGCTATTGTTGTGTTGGCTGTTATCATTTTTTTTATTTGACAATCTAAGGGAAGGGCAGTCAGTGCCCCTGACTAAATATTCAGGGATTGCATGTTTTAAAAATCCTTGCTGCATAATGGTAGAAAATTGCTTCTATAAAGGAATTAGTGATGAATGGAATAGATGAGAAAGCTCAGATACAGTGCAGGCACATAGAAAATGTGTTATGTGGATTTTTTAAAGCATTAGGAACTAGGAGGGAAAGTATAGATTTTCTTTTTTTAATGTGCTTGGGAGATTGGCCAAGGGGGTGGTAGTGTGAAGGGCACCAACTTGCCTTAGTAGTCCATATACCCAAATAAATTTCAGGTGGATTAAAATGCACATGGTAAACATGCATCACTTTTTAAATATTATGAACAATGTAACTGGTCAATGAGCATGAATACCTTCTATGACATAAAAAAGCAGCAGCCGTTTCCCAGGCCTCTCCTCCCTTCTGCCACGTGGCTGACCGTGTGCTCACTGTCTCGCCTCAGGAGCCCACTCTGGAATCCGCTGTGATGTATTAGCGCCACGGAGCTCCACTGCCAGTGACCCACTGCCTCCGGCGTACACGACAGTGCCTTGACCCAACAGCCATTGAATACTATATGGATCTCCACCTGAGGAGAGGGCCTGGGGAGCCACGGTGCACAGGGCTGTCCTGATACCTCACCCAGAGAGCGGTCCCAGACATCGGCATGGCGGTCTCGCCCGCTCTCTGCCTTAGGCTCCCAGGAGAAGCCAGGACAGAAAACCGAGATGCTGGCTTCCAACAGTAGAGTTCCACGTCCAAAAATGCATCGTGTCCCTGTCTGCTTTGCTACTGTATGTTGTCTTTGTGATCTTTTTTTTTTTTAAATCCTTTTGCTTCAACTAAAATGACATATCAACAATTTGTCCAAAGAAAAATGGTTGGGTGGGGGTGGGGGTGGGGATGGAGGGAAGGGAGATGGGTATTTTCATTTAATTCATCATCAGTTCTTACTAATCTCTCACAAGCATCTTATCTTGCAAATGCTAAGGGAAAAGATGAAAATGCCCCTGTGTGAGCACTAGGGACTGTCACAGCTGGAGAGTGCTCGCCCATCAAGGATGCAGGTCTCCCTTTAGCCACTTCCTTCCTGCTAGGCCCCAGTCATTCTCATTGCTTTGCGATCACCAGCCACAGAATAGAAAGCTCTGCCTCACCCATGCCACGCCCAGGCCCATTTGAAACTATGGCTCATTGAGAATTTAGGTTCTTCCTTGGACTTCCTGAGACTTTCCCCACTCTGGAGTGGAGAGGGGCTTGAGAAAGCCCATCACTGGCTTAACTTTAGGGCACTGTCCAGAACCAACGTGACGTGGGTCAGCGATGACCGCCTCTAAATGAGGTGTCACTCAATGCATTGTCGCAGACTATAGCCACCTGAGAAAATGTTGTCCTCCAAAATTTACTTCCCAATAAATATTCAGCCAAAGTAGTAAAATGACCATAAAGACAAAAATAGTTAAGGAATAGCCAGAAAACTTTCAGGACAAACTGTGAATTTAATGGACACAGAGTTGATACTAACTCTGTTTCAGGTCTCAAATGCATGACTATGTAGACTGTGTTTATAAAAGCAAATGGAACTGGAATTTCACTCAATCGATCATTCTGCTAATATATTCTGAATCTAAGGAAGAAGGCAAAGATGGGAGGCAAGGGAATAGTATGACTGATGTTTATTATACTTCTCATTTTAATCCTTAGAGCAACCCTATTCAAAAGGTATCGCCATTTTTTTTATATCTGGAGACTGAGGGCCATAGACATTAATTTGCAAAGTCACACCTGGAAGCTAAGTATAGTTAGAATGCCTCATGCCGAAGAGCCTCCCTCCGTCTCTGTGTTGTTTCCAACGGCTGCGCTCTTTTGCTGGTCGGCACATTCCCAGACCTGACTTGCTGATGAAATGTGTGTTGTGGTGCATTCCTGATGGGGGTCTATCTATCTTCCAATAATTATTCTTGCTGATGCTGTGTATGTCTTCTCCAACAGAAATAATGCCTTGGAAATAAAGTCAATCTTTGGTCTTTTGCTCTGTTGGTATGGTTCAAAGCAAACAAATTCAAATTTGAAAAACACAACAGAAAAGATCTGGTTCCAAATAGAACGTTTTCTTTAGGAGGCATGAAAAGCAGCTATTGTTGTGTTACAGTGTTAAAATATTCAGTTTTCCTTGACGAAAATGTGTACTGTGTGAGCCTTGCAAAAAAAAAAAAAAGAAGAAGAAGAAGCCTGCTCTGTGGCATTTGAATTTTTATAAAGGTTTCCTTGTGCCAAAAAAAAGTGCAAAGATTTAATTTACTATTAAAAACCATACGTATATGTTATAGTTCCAGAAGAATTATTTTGTCATCAAGTGATTTTGATCTTCAGTGTCAATATTTATATTTAGATTAATTTTTATAAATGAAAATATTTTAATGGTTTGAGAAAATGAGGATGACAGGACCATTTCTGTGATGGCCTCTGAAAGTTATGCTTGCCTTCGTGTTATATGCACATTGCCGAGAATTACTGTCAGGAGAAATGATAAAGAAGTAAAAGTCATTTATGAAAATAATGTTTGTAGGAATGTGATTTTTGTTTGTTTGTTTTTTTGGTTAGGAAAGGCTGGGAGAGATGAGGGGCTAGGGAAAGAAGCCAGTGGTTAGTCACCAGAGGGGCAAACATTCCAAGTCACGGTTGCCTCGTACCCCAGTCCTTCCAGTCACCTCTCCATGCTTGTTCTCCTGAGAACAGAATTCCCAGCAATCACCTCTACTGAGTGACACCCAGGTAAGACCAGCAATTCTCCAAGCAGGGATCGGAGTGAGAGGATAGGCGTGGTAGTGTGATTTTGCCTCTTAGGGGACATTTTTGATCGCCATATCATGGAGTGGTCATACAGTGGCTAGTGGCCAGGGAGGCTCCTAAACATCCTACAATGCACAGGACAGTCCCCCACAACAAAGATCATCCAACTCAAAATGTCAGGAGTACTTAAGGCTGAGAACTTGGGTTAGACCCTGGCGGTAAGCCTGGGCATCCGTGGAGAAGCCCCTGCCAGTCTCTGCAGGGACTCTGTAGCTGAGCGGGAAGCAGGTCAGGAACTCCCCTGGAGTCTTGCACAGGCTCAGAGCAGTTGTTGCTCCTCTGTGTCTGGCCCGTCCAGAACACTGAAGCCAGACACTGTCCCCCGACATCCCCACATAGGAATAGGAACCCTCCACTAACCTGAAATGAACGTGTGAATGCAAACACTATAAAAGCCAAGAGCCTTCTCCGCCTAGTGGGTTAAAGCAGTCCATAGAGCCCTGACCGGTTTGGCTCAGTGGATAGAGCATCGGCCTGCGGATGAAGGGTCCACATCCCCAGTAGGGAGTGTGCAGGAAACAGCTAAATCAATGTTTCTCTCTCATCGATGTTTCTAACTATCCCTCTCCTTCTCCCTTCCTCTCTGTAAAAAATCAATAAAATATATTTAAAAAATAATAAAGCAGCCCATAGAATCCCCTGTAAAAACACAGATTCATGAAGAAATTCAATCAACCCCTGTCCTCAATCTATCTATCTCTGCACTGCCATTAGCGTGCCTGGCACAATGTTTGCTAAACACTCCCAACAAACAGGCTCACGTTTAAGTTGCCGGGGCATTTCAGATGGGTGCGGTGGGGAAGACAGTATCAGTAGACCCATCTGAAATCCTCTCCAGGCAACATTTCCTGGCCAGAATTCCTGATTTCGCCATCTTCCCACTCCACATCCCCATCCCCATAAGATAGCAAGACAGTAAAGAGGGACTAGTTGCCCTCAAGTTACCTGAGCATTCAGCCTCTCTAACCCAGAAGCCCCAAAAGCATGCCCTGAGCAACCCATCTGTATGGACCACCTGAGTAATCTGGAGAATCCATTTGAGCCAACAATTTGAGTATCAAGAGTGACCGGAGCTATGCTAAAAAACATACAGCTCTGCTTGCCTCTGGGTAAAAAGGAACAGTGTAAAGATGATGTTTTCCCTTAAGAAATAAGTGCTTCATTTTCCATGACACACACATACACACAAAATGTGACCCAATATTCAAAGCATTGAAGCTACCAGAAAAAAAAAACACTAGGCCCCACTCTTAGACTTTCTACTTACCAGCTCTGCGGCCAATCACCTCATGTGTACAATGGGGTCACAGATCCCCTCCTCATGGTGTTGTGAAAGGTTGAATGAAATAGCACATGAGAAACCCCCCAGCAGAATGTTTGGTAACTATCAATACTCAACGCTTGTGTCCTCCTTTTCTCTTAGGATAAGAAAATCACTTAAGTATCAGCACCAGGACTTATGATGCAAATTGCTGTGCCTCAATTTTTCTATTGTTAGTAGACAAGGTTATTGTTCTTCCAATATTCACTCCCTCTAACCCCCTAATTCTGGGAGGAGTGCACTACCCCGCCCCATTAAAGTTGGGCTTGACCATGCCACTTGCCTTTATGCTTGGTAGAGCATACTTCTTTGTCTTAGTCTGTTCAGGCTGCTGTAACAAAATACCAGAGACTGGGCAGTTTATAAACAACAGAAATTTATTTCTCCCAGTTCTTAAGTCCAAGATTAGGGTGCTGGTTGGAATCCGGTAAAACCTGTCACAGACTGCCGACCTACCCCGTTTCCTCGCATGGTAGAAGACCTTAAGGGATCCCTCTGGGGCCTCTTTTAATAGGACACTTACCCCAAGCATGAGGGAGGAGCCCTCACGACCTAGCTCCTCCCAAAGGCCTCACCTCCCAACATCATCACCTTAGGGATTAGGTTTCAACATATGAATTATGGAGGGACACAAACCTTCAGACCATAGTATTCTCCAACCCTTGGTTTGGACTTGGCCGTGTGACTTGCTTTAGCTAATGAGATGTTAGAAGAAGAGGGACATAAGGGGCTTGAAATATGTTGATGGAGTTGGGTTTGTCCACTTACATGTTGCCCTTCACCATGAGAACATGCCATAGGGAGCCCACGGGTCCAAGGAACAGACCCAGGCTCAAGATGCAGCTTGCAGCCAAGCTCAGAGAGCCCAGCTGAGATGGCAGAGCCACCTCAGCCAACCTGTAGACACGAGCGAGAATAAATCACTGCTTTATGAAACCATTGCAATTTGGGGTGGTTTGTTATGCAGCAATACTACCTGAAAAGTTCGTCTTACCGCCTTAGTTTAGTCCTTGTGTTAGAGATGAAATGAAGATGAGTATCCAAAGTAAACCCACGTGTCAGTATCAAGGGTGCATATAAACAAACATTGAGCTACTTATTTTTGATGTTTCATAATTTACGTATGAAACTTTGGTTACATTTTGAGGAGGGCATCTATCTATTTCAATGTGTGCTTGTGTTGATCTTCCACAAAGGTTCCTCTATTCATTGAAATTTTTGATAAAACTTTCTTCAAGTACAGGAGCCATTTGGTATAGTCCTTTAAAAATAACTTCTCGCATGACGGCCGCTCTATTTTCTCCCAGAAGTATTTCCCATACAAAATTTGCATTTGACAGAACAGTTGGTTGCGTGAGCCTTCTGTCTCTGCAACCGAGTTATAATGATGATAAAATGCAGGTAAGTAGAGTTGCATTTTAAAGAGCTTTCTAAGGACTGGAAGACTTTAATGCCCACTTCAAACATTGGAAACCTCAAAGAAGTTATCCAGATGGATCCAGTTTGTTGGAATCAAGTCCTAAAATATAGAAAAATTTGTTTTGTATCAAAGCTATCACGTTTGATAAAGATGAAAGATTTAAGGCCATGCCTCTCAAACTTTAATGTGCAAATTCTGATTCAGCAAGGCTGGGATGGGGCCCAGGATGTGGCATTTCTGACAAGCTCCCGGCTGATGCCAGTGCTGCTGGCCACACTGTGAGCAGAGAGGTTCAGTGCGGTCCCTCTGACAGTCCCCTGCAGGATTGAGGCCCGGTTACCCACAGTGCTAACCTACCTGTTCACTGGTGCCACTTTCGTGGCATGTCCTCCCTTCATTGTCTCACGTCCCCCTCCTCGACATTTGTCCTGGGGTCACAGTCTGCTCTGGGGAGACCCCCGCTGAGCCGTCCCCTGCTGTGCACTCACGTGTTGCATGTCCTCCCACACTGACCTGAAAGCTCCCTGAAGACAGAGTTCCGTGTGTCTCGCACAGAGCCTGGAACTGAGCAGGTGCTTAAAACAAAGTTGGTTCACCTGGAAGGCCATGGCGGTCTGGCTCTAGGCCAGCCGTGGGCAAACTATGGCCCGTTTGAAATGAATAAAACTAAAAAAAAAAAGACCGTACCCTTTTATGTAATGATGTTTACTTTGAATTTATATTAGTTCACACAAACACTCCATCCATGCTTTTGTTCCGGCCCTCCGGTCCAGTTTAAGAACCCATTGTGGCCCTCGAGTCAAAAAGTTTGCCCACCCCTGCTCTAGGCTGTGGTTATGTCAAGCCAGTCTAGGAAGGGAGACAAGACACAGAACTAATCATGTTGGCATCCCCTTCAGAGAAGGATACACGGTCAGACCTGGGCAGAGTCGTATTGCCCAGAGACAGGCGGAGGTGGCGGTCAAAGGTCTGTATTGAAGATCTCAAATCCACATCTCTGGCTTGTCCTGCTGCCTTTCATGTTGTCTCATGTCTCCTTCAAGTGCCTTTTTGTTCTTTTATGTTACTGGGATGATTCACTTGGGGTTTGAAAAATCTCCCTGCTATGAAAGTTACTGTATTCCCTTCGATCTTGAGAATCTCTATTATACCTTGAGGCTCTTCACCATGTGGGAGGGAGGGGGAATCAGAACCCCCCGGGTGCTTTTTAAGAATACACGCCAGCCCCATTCCCCTTCCAAACCCCTAAGAGTTCACACTATCCTGCTTCCTAACCAGGACCCTACCCAGGCCCAAGGCAATAGGGAGGCTGCAGGTAGGTGCTCATCAGTAGGCGGCAGACGGGAGGCCAAGCAGAAAGGGAAGGGGGGGAGGAGAGGGTGAAAAGGCCCCCAGGTTTCTCACCAGGGCTGCTGGGGCAGTGGCAGCTCCATTAGCTGAAACAGTGGGATCAATATGGGAAATAGTAGTTCTTGTTTTTGCTCTGAAGTTGGCTCAAATTTTTGTTTGAACTGATTTTGCAATCTCCACACGTTTTAATGAGCTACCCTGGACGACACCTAAAATGTTCATTCTGAGTAACTAAAAGAGGTCATTCAGGGTCTGGCTGTACATTTCCACCATTATTTGTAACTCAGCATCCCAGCCGTGCAACAGGGTGACTGAGTTATAGCTAACAATTGGTGTTTGCATGACATCCTAGCTCATGCATGAAGACAAACCTCATTCCATCTGTTTTTTCTGCTAATGGCCAGTGATGTTCCCACAGGCTAATTACAGCAATTACATCGAAAATAATGTGTTTACTCTGAAAAGCCAGATTTGGTTTTTGTGACTGGGTTGTTTTAACAAATACACAACTGTTTCTAAGAGGGGGAAGGTCTTCACTCTTTATCATCTATTTTTTTAAAAACAACACACCACATGAAATCCCTTTCTGAAGTTACCATGAAAAATGCTATTG